TTTTTTGTGGTGGAAGGGTTTTTCCTTGAGGGGTTTTGCCCGGACGCCGGGTTTCCCCTCCATATGACACCATGTTGGTATTTTCTGATGTATCCTGAGGCGTTCTTGCCCAATTGATGGTTAGTCACTTGCGTGAAGAACCAGGGAGGGTGTTCGTGAGTCTGCGAACATTGCTGTTGGATACATGTGCTGGATGATTTTGTGTCACGCAGACTGGTAAGATAACCGTTTGATAGGGGGCACCGCGATGATTCACGGGGCCCCTCCTTGCTGNTACACTGACGAGTTTAGGCGGGCGAACCATGTATTGCATCGAGATTCGCAACGGCCTTCGGGAAGGAACTAGGGATTACAGTGGACTGGAACCATGTACTCAAGGCTTTCAGTACGAAGGAACGGGGCGAGGAGCTGACGAGCACGTTGGTGCAGCGCATCTTGCGTTTGCCAAACCCAAGTCTGCTTGTGTTCAACTTTCAATGGGGGAAGACGCAGGGAGATCGAGTAAGACCATGTTTTGACTACACCTTACGACGAAATGGAAGTATCCCTATGCCCAGTACGGGCAGAGGAACGGTTGGTGGAGATAGCTACTTCCGCGTGCTGCAACATGACGAAGGGACAATATTTCCAAGGAGGTCAAGGGGCAAAAGACAGTATGGCATTCGAAGACAGTCACGTCACAGCGCATGTCAGCTGCGTTGAAGATGTACGCTCAACAAGCAGGGGAGAGGCCAGCTTTTTGCATTCATTTAGGCCGGGAGGAGGGGCGATTCCACGGGCATCAGCAGGAGACACTTGCCATTGATGGAGGTAGAGGCGCCAGGTTCCGGGGACGAGGGTATGGTTCAAGGGGTAACAGAGGCACAGCAGTATAGAGAGCTCAACGAGTTTTCGTTGAATGAGTAAAGCCGACATCTGGCGGCTTTCGGTCGAACACCGATGCTCTGAATGATAAATTGAAAGATTTGAAGGGACAACAGCAGTAAGACATGAGAGAGAAATGGCTTCTACCCGAGATAGTGTGGGATAAAGGAGTATCGGAGGATGACAGACACCGACCCGGGAAGGTGATGCCATTGTTAAATCCCACACTAGATGGAATGAAGAACTAGCTCGGAACTACTGATGCATTCTGCATGGAAGAGTCGAGAAAGGTGAAACATTTCGCAGAGCGTTCCTAAAGGAAATAGGTTGTATTGTGACAAGTAAGATTTTTCCTTTCATTCTCCAAACAAAGCAAGCGTCGCCACGGAAAACAGGAGACAAGGAGGGTTTTTGTGGAAGTCACCGCCCACCCACCCTGAGCAGTACCTATCCTACATAGTAATAGAGGCTGGTGGGGAGATCGTACAGCTGGGAGTGGACACTGCCAGTGATGGTATTTTGGAATGTAGAGTGATAGAAACATATATGGTCGTGCCTACAATAGACTGATGGCAAGACCGCGCTGTAGGTGAATACTACCGCTGCGGTAGGCTTGGAAACGATTGTAGGATGGGCGATGGGGCGTTCGTCCTTCGGGTCGTCGTCTATGCGAGTGCTTTATCCGCGCACACGGGACACAATACTTCATTTGCCTGGTCTAGGAGCAGTCGTCGAAACAATCAGAACCATCATTCACCGGTACAGGTTCCGCGCGCGTTGCCCTTGGCGCCACGCTGCTGTTGTCTGGTCAGGAAGGGCAAAGGGGGCAAACAGATGGACACGGGTGATGTTAGCGATTTTTGACACACTCCGTGTCAAACCTACACACCTGCTTTTATTTTTTTCCCCCGCGATCCACAACTTACCGTGGAAACATCTCGCGGTATTTTCCATCAACAACCTCTCCCCCCCTGCGCTGTCTCCCTCGCTCTTTCCCCTTTTCTCTCCAGACTTGGCCGGTATCGTGCTTATCCTCATCATTCAGGTTTATTTTAACCTTACGACTGTGGATGATTGGGGGGCCGTAACAAGGGAGGCGATAGTTGAGCTTGAGCAGGTACGAGGTGTTTATACTACCGTGGTGTATGGTGCCCTTGGTTGGCGTGCTCTCCGTTGGTCAGCGATCGATTCTAAAACATGACTGCCAGCAATGTTGGGGGAAAGGGTATGGTGGTCGCCCGCCCGTGGGGCGGGACGGCCACTGGGATCACACTTCCGTCTTGGCGTGTAGGTAGATCGGCTTGAAAGTAGACTAAGTAAGCCTGTGGGCAGTAGTATCGTCCTGTGGTGAGCGTGGGAAGCCGTCGCGTTTCGCCGAGCGGTTCCTCCCGCCCCCCCTCCCGCGCGTTATCTACGCTGTAACTCATCCATTGCGTATGTCGATTTGTACTCTTGGAGAATCGTCTTTGTGAGGGAGGCATGCCGAAAGGTACTTCGTACAATATGACAAGTTATAATGGTCCGTGCACAACAATTTGTCCAATTCAGTTTTGGGTGAAAAAAAAAAAATTGGAACGTGACACAACGTTGGTCGTGACGGCCTCATCGAGATACGTCGAAATCCGAGGAGTTTTTTGAGTCTGGTGAAAAATGTAGCGTTCTGAAGGAAAGCGGTGTTTGGTGGAGGCGTGTCGGAATTCGACTTCAAGGGGATAGAGCTGAAGCGTCCCCTGGTGGGGGAGCGAACGCTCGTGCAGTCTGTTTGCGTTCGATTGGACAAGCACACCAAGAAAACACCACGAGGTAGTGCCCAGCACGGAGAAGAGTTTGGACGTAGGGCTTGATCGATTTTTCGATGGCTGCTCCCTCCAGCGCCGTCGCTCAAGCGCAAGCTGCAGCCGCGCTCGCAGCAGAAGAACAAGCCGCAGCAGCAGCGGCCGCAGGGGAGGAGCAGCCGGAGGCAGCGGCGGCAGCGGCGGCACAAGCAGCGGCGGCAGCAGCGGCACAAGCAGCGGCGGCAGCGGCTGCACAAGTAGCGGCGGCAGCAGCAGTGGTGGTGCATCCTCCTCCCCCTCCCGTCAACCAAAACCCTGAGGTGAACGTGGGAGGAAACCAGTCCGCCGTGAATCTCAACGCAGTCCTCCAGCATATTTTGGCTGGTCAACAAGCGCAGGCTGTCTTCAATGCGAACATCGCGCAGCAACTGGAGCAATTGCATCAGCAGCAACCACCGGTCGCCGCCCCGTTCGCTGGCCAATTCCTGGCGGAGCCTGCGGGAGGAGTTCTACACCCCCTCCCGGCCATCGGAGGAGTTCCGCACCCCCACCCGCCCGCTGCTGCTGCCCCGGCTCGCGCGGCCGCGCCCGCCGGTCTGTCGGAGGGCGCGAAGCTGGCGGCCAAGCTTCAGGCGAATTTGTGGGCCACGGACGCGGCCACACCCAAGTGGTTCATCATTCGCGGCGGCTTCCATGTCGGGCGCGTCATGAACAAGGAGCGGCTTACCCTAGCGACTAGAAAATTCGCTCTCATCACCGACAAGGCGGCCGCGCAAATCTCTAAATTGACGGACTTTGCGGCCGAGCACTTCTTCACCAAGATGCCAGACGGGGTGCTGCCCACGGCAATGCCGCCGCAAATGCATATCACGGTGGCGGTGAAAGTGTTTTTCGCAGCTATCGAAGCCGGCATGGGGGGGGCGGATGCTCTCTGCACGGAGCGCGTGAAGAGCCTGCACAGGGAATTTCTGGCGGTCGAATATCAGCTCTCAGCGTACCTTACGCTCCATTTCGTGGAGCTGGCCGCGTTTCCCGGCGAAGACCCGCGACACTGTCTTGGCAGCGTACAACATTGGTTTCAACGACTTTTTCCACGATCTAGCGGCGCGGGGCGAGGACTTGCTGCAGGAACATAGCAACGGCCCCCCAACGTCGGCCTCCGTCATCAGCATGGAGTCGCCGAAGTTCACGAAGCTAAAAAACCTGATCAAGGAGGAAGACTCTAATTCCCTCGTCGCGAGGTCAAAGTCATGGTCCGCGGAGAAGACGGCCCCGCCCACCCCCGCCGCCGCATCTGCCGCCGCCGCCTCCGCCGGTAAACGGAAGAGTAGCGGCGGCGCTTCGTCATCGGCGGGGACGGCAAAGAAACGAGCTCCAAGCAGCGGGGTCTTTTTCTAACCCCCTGACCACGTGTGCCGGAACTGGTGGTTCTCCACCGACTGCCACCGCCAAGTGGGCTCTTTCGAATACATCTGGGGCGGAGCCTTTGGCGGCGCCGGCGGGGGACAGCAGCGTCAACAGCGGCGGGCCCCGGCGCAGCAGCCGCAGAACCCCCAGCAGCTCCTACAACAGCCTCAGCTACAGCCTCACCCACAGCAGCAGCAGCAGCAGCAGCAGCAACAACAACAGCAGCAGCAGCAGCAGCAGCAGCAGCAACCGCCGGCGCAGGCCGCCAACGGAGGGGGGCGGGGACAGCAGCAGCGAAATGTCGCCCACTACAGTGTGATGGCGGGCGGCGGCAGGGGAGGAGGGGGGGGGCGCGGGAGCGCCAACTTTGGCCGCGGGGCCGGGGCCGGGAGCGGGACTTGACGGGGCGGGCTCTGCCTTCAGGCAGAGCCGACATCAGGAGGGAGGGGGTCTCCAGCGGGAGCCGGTACCCTCTTCGCAGACATCGGGAGATCCGTCGGGGTTCCCGGTGTCTCCACACCTGGGTCTGTTTCGCCGACCTGTTTTTACGGTGAGCAAGGGTCGGTACCGCTATCCTTTGGGTTGGCACTAGAGAGAACCGCAGAGACAGTCGCTCACAGACCCGCAGGTTCAGATGTTCAGTGCAATCACAATTCAGAGTCCGTACCAGCCAGAACCGCAGGGACAGACGCTCTCGGAGCCGCAGGTCCGGATGTTCAGCAAACACACGCCCACCAATTCGCCGTAGTAGGAACCGCAGGGACAGATGCTCACGGAGCCACAGGTCCGGATGTTCACGGCTTCCACAGCTCAGAGTTGGCACTTGTAAGAACCGCAGGGACGGATGCTCACGGAGCCGCAGGTCCGGATGTTCAGTGCAAACACACCCACAACGCAGAGTCCGCCGTAATAGGAACCGCAGGGACAGATGCTCACGGAGCCACAGGTCCGGATGTTCACGGCTTTCGCAGCACAGAGTTGGCACTTGTAAGAACCGTAGGGACGGATGCTCACGGAGCCGCAGGTCCGGATGTTCAGTGCAACCTTGTCGCAAATGGAACACTCACAACGCCAAACGAGAAAACCAGTAGCTTCAGCAGGCTCCCAAAA